GCCTCCTCCTGGCCTCCTCAGCTGCTGCTGCTCCTCCTCAGCCTCCTCCTCCTCCTCCTCCTCCTCCTCCTCCTCCTCCTCCTCCTCAGCCTCCTCAGCCTCCTCAGCGGCTCCATTGTGGTCGCCGCCGACGGCGCAGCTGCTGGGGAGGGTGTCGGAGCGGCAATCCTCGGGGCCCCCGACGCTGCTCGCGTCCAGCCTGGGGGGTTGCTGCCCCCCCAGCGTCACGCGTCGCCTCCTCTCCTCCGCCAGCCTCCAAGGAGCTCCTCGGCTGGAGACCTTGTCGGCCCCCGCCTCCCTGGGGCTCCTGCCGTCGAGAGTGGCCTCGATCTCGGCCACGCGCTCGCGCACCACGCGCCGCCGGCGTCGGCCACCGGTACCCACGGCGGCGGCGGCGTCGGCGCCGGCGTCGGCGTCGCCGCGCTGCCCGACGCTGACTGCGCCGCTGTGGGGGAGCCGGTCGGCGCCACTATCTGCGCAGCTGTCGGCGTTGCCGTTGGTGCCGGGGCCGCCGCCGCCAGCGCCGCTGGCGGCGAGCCTGGCCGTCGCCTGGGTCGCCTCGTCGGCGCTCCCGCCACAGCCAGCCCAAGAGGGCGGGGAGGGGCCAGGAGCCTTGTCCCAGCTTTCCTTGTCGCCTCGCTCCAGGGGGAGGAGGGGGAGGAGGAAGGGGAGGAGGGGGAGGGGGAGGAGGAGACGGGAGGAGGAGGAGGGAGGAGGGGAGGAAGGAAGGAGATGAGGAGAGGAGAGGAGGAGAGGAGGATTTGGGTTCGCTCCAGACCCGCGGAGTACAGCAAGATGCACGTAAGGTCCCCAGTCCAAGTAGCGTCGGAGGGCCCTGCCTCTGTGGTCCCTAGCGGGCGCGCTCCCCCCGCATTGGACGCTGGAGGCCCGCCGCCCCCTCCTCCTCCTCCTCCCGCTCCCATCCTCCTCCTCCTCCTCCTACTCCTCCGCCAACCTCCGCCCCCGACCTCCTCCTCCTCCTCCTCCTCCTCCTCCTCCTCCTCCTCGTGGGCGCTCCGCCCGCGTCGTCGTCGGCGCCTCCCGCTCCGCCCTCGTAGGCGAGGCCCTGGTGGTCGAGCCCAAAGGGGCCCCGCTCCCCGGCTAAATGAGCCACAGGGATCCAGAGTGAATCCTGGGCTACGGCCCAACCGCCGTGCTCTCGTAGGGCCGTCCTCCCGGACGTATGTCGGCGCCTCGCCTCGCCTCGCCCCGCTCCCCGGCGTTGCCGGTCTTGGAGCCTGGGTCGCGCTGCGGGCCCCAGCCGTCGTAGTAGTCCACGCCGCGGCCGTAGTTACCCTCGTGCTGGAGGGCCCGGTCGTTGCGATCCCACTCGAGCTGGAAACCCATGCCCACGAACCCAGACCTCCTCGCGTCGTGAAAAAATCACGACGGGAGGTTTTTCGCTATTTTCGCCCTCTGGCGGTCCTTACCGGGCCTCGGGACCGTCAAAAAACGACTCGGGATGAAAAACCGGTCCCAGGGAAAGGGTCCAGACTTCTGGGGTCGACGTTTTTTGAATCAGCCACGCGCGTCGGGGGTCTGGGAAGAGGCGCTCGAGCACAGCGGCATCCCCTCCCAGCCGGGCGTCTTCTGCCAGCCAAGCCTTTCGCGCCAGGTACTCCAGATTTTGTAATAAAGGGAGGGGGGTCTCATTTCGGGGGGGGTCTCTTCCAGGCTATCTTGGAGGGCCTGGGGGGGTCTGGGGACGATGTTTTGGAGGGCTCTCCCACGGGGGAGGTCTGAAATGGCTTGTCTGGAGGGTCCAGACCCCCTCCCTTTTATTACGAAATCTGGAGTAGGCGCTCTCCCGCCTCCCGAGCACCTCTTTCAGCCCGACGAAGGGCCCCGCGGGCTGGCTGGCCCCGTTCCAGCCGGAGAAGAGCCGAACTTGGTGCTCCAAGTGAGCCTCCTCCGCCTCGCCCGCCGCCTGAGCCTCCTGAGCAGCCCTGGCACGAGCGGCTGTTAAGGCCCTCACCACTGCCCTCGCTGCCTCGCCGTCGACGCGTCCGCGGCGCGGGAGGCCCCATCGAGCCCTGGCGTTCTCCGCCATGACCCGCATCAGGACCTCGTCCCCAGACCCCCGACGTCGTGATTTTTTCACAACGTCGACCCCCAGAAGTCTGGGCCCTTTCCCTGGGACCGGTTTTTCATCCCGAGTCGTTTTTTGACGGTCCCGAGGCCCGGTAAGGACCTCCAGAGGGCGAAAATAGCGAAAAACCTCCCGTCGTGATGTTTTCACGACGCGAGGAGGTCTGGGTCTGGCGTCGCGGCCTCCCCCAGGGGGGCGGCCGGCATGACTGCAGGGCCTCCACGGGCGCCGTGGCTCTGGCCATCTCAGCCATGCGTCGCCAAGCCTCTGGTCCGCGGCGGCGCAGCCCGCGCTTCGCGCCGAGCCGCGCCAACCGCGAGCTCGGCCCTCTGCCAGCCCCAGACCCCCGACGGCGCCTGAGTTTCTGACGTCGCTTGATCTCGCGAGTCGGGCTGCCGATGTTGTTGCTCTAGCTGGCGCTGTCCTCCCACGTTTCCTCGAGGACAGCCCCCAGCGCTGGCGTCGGCCTGCGGTGCTGGGCCGCCAAACTAACTCTCGGGAGGAGGGGTGGCACTCGTGGGGGCGCAGTGAACTGGGCTGGCAACGTGCGTTTTGTTGCCAGCCCCAGACCCCCGGCGTCGTGAATTTTTCGCAACGTCGACCCCCAGAAGTCTGGACCCCTTCCCCGGGACCGGTTTTTCATCCCGAGTCGTTTTGTTGACGCTCCCGAGGCCCGGCAGGGACCTCCAGAGGGCGAAAATAGCGAAAAACCTCCCGTCGTGATTTTTTCACGACGCGAGGAGGTCTGGGGCCAACGCGCCCCTTGCTCCAGCCTCCTCTGAGCCGTCACGGGCGCCCTCGCCGCGCTCCGCGGCGCCCGGCCTCCCAGACCCCCGACGCCGTGATTTTTTCGCAACGTCGACCCCCAGAGGTCTGGACCCCTTCCCCGGGACCGGTTCTTCGTCCCGAGTCGTTTTTCGACGCTCCCGCGAGGCCCGGTGAGGGCCCTCCAGAGGGCGAAAATAGCGAAAAACCTCCCGTCGTGTTTTTTTTCACGACGCGAGGAGGTCTGGGGCCAACGCGCCCCTTGCTCCTTCGTCCCGAGTCGTTTTTCGACGCTCTCGCGAGGCCCGGTGAGGGCCCCAGCGGAGGCCGAGAACAGCGGAAAGCCTCCCGTCGTGATTTTTTCACGACGCGAGGAGGTCTGGGCTCTGCGCCCTTGGGCGCCCCGCGTCCCGCCAGGCCGAGCCGCGCCCCTGCAAGCTCGGCCTCCGCACCGCCGGCTCGCGGCGCCTCGCCGCCCTCCGCGGCGCTCCGCGGCGCAGCCCCTGGACGTCCAGTGCAGCGAGCGGACGTGCTATGGCCCCGCCCGCCCACCTCTGAAAAAGGCCCGGGCCAGCAGACCCGAAGCGAAGCCATGACGACTACGGAGGAGGAAGGGGGGGGAGGGAGAGGGAGAGAGAGAGAGAGAGAGAGAGACAGAAGAGAGGGCTACGCCAGCAGGCAAAACCCCCTGTTCTAGCGAACGACTAAGTGCCAAGACTGTGGAGCAATCGCGCACACATATGCGCACTTACGCAGCGAGGCGGGCAAGAAAAGGCCGACGATGAGTTGAACAATCAGGCGTTGGCGCATGTGGGGGGAAGCTCGTACCTGCCTGGGACGCCTGGGTTTCCTGCCGAGCAGCCTCCTCGAGATAGGGGTGGCCCACGAGGCCTCGGCGGCAGTCCTTTCGGGCTGAATTTCGGGCGCCTCACGGGAGCCCTCTGGTAGGTACCTCCGGGCGAAACCAGGGAGGCGCTGTGGCAGGTGCCTTCTGGCCGCCCAGGGCAGCGCTCTGGCGAGAGCACGCTGGCATCTTTGGGCCGGCCCGAGTCGAGTGCGCCCGCCTGGCCCCGCGCAAAGATGCCAGCGCTGCCGAAGCACGCGGGCAGCTGCCAGCCCCAGACCCCCGACGCCGTGATTTTTTCACGACGTCGACCCCCAGAGGTCTGGACCCCTTCCCCGGGACCGGTTTTTCATCCCGAGTCGTTTTTTGACGCTCCCGCGATCTGGACCCCTTCCCCGGGACCGGTTTTTCATCCCGAGTCGTTTTTTGACGCTCCCGAGGCCCGGGGAGGGCCCCCGGAGGCCGAACATAGCGAAAAGCCTCCCGTCGTGATTGTCTCACGACGCGAGGAGGTCTGGGTTTGGGGCAGGGGGGGCCTGCCACGGACGCGCGGCGAGGCAGCGGTCACGATGGGCGTCCGATGCGCGGTGCCGACGGCGACCGCGCCGCACCCCGTTCCCTCGCGTTGCACGAGCAGCCTTCGTGGTGGCATGCGGCGGGAAAGGAGGCTGGAAATCGGCGAGAGCGAGCTGCAACAGCAGTAACCCGTGCTCGACGCCACACGCTCACTGGAGCAACTCCCATCTCCTACCTCTCGGGAGCGGAAAAGAGGGGGGTGATGACTAGGGGGGGGTGGATTTCATGGCGCGGGCCATGATTTTTCCTCAGATTTCATGGCGCCTCTTCTTATTTTATTACGTCCCAGGCCCCCCCGCTGGGCCGCGCACATGCCGCCGGTCATGATTTGCACCCCCCCCTCTTGGACACCCCCCTCTTGGCCGCTCCCGAACCTCAGACCCCCATCCCCCCCGCCTCGCCCCTCCGCCCATCCCTTCCCTCTCTCCCTTTCCCCTCCCCCTCACCCTCCCGCTCCCTCTCCACGTCCGCTCCCCCTCCGCCCACTTCCCTCCTGCTCTCGCCCTTCCCTCCATTCCCCCCCCTTTCCCCGCCGCCCTTCCCCTTCCCTCTCCCATCCCCTCCCCTGCCCCGCAGTTCTCCCCCCATCCTTCCCTCGCCGCGAGGGACGCCCAGAAACCGAATTCTCGAGTTCCCGAAGGTCGAGTCTCGAGGTCTCGAGCTCTCGAATCCTCGAGGCCCGACTCTCGAATCTCGACCCTCCCACTGCGCACGCCGGGACCGCAGGAGGAGGGCATGGAGGAGGACAGGCGGCACCTGCACCACCTGGCCGTGGCCGGCCAGCGCGGCGTCCACGCGGGCGCCGCGGTGGTCGAGAGGCTCCCGCTCCCGGGGGGCGCCCCTCCAGGGGCTCACTTCGATTCCTCCGACTCGAATTCGATTCGATTTCGATGGAGTCCGGTTCCGATTCGATTCGGGAACGGATTCCGATCTGGGGTCCGAGTTCCGAATGGAGGCTCACTGGCCTGCCGACGTCTGCCGATTCGACTTTCCCCGGCCCGGCTGCCGCTTTCCACCGATCCGATTCAGCTCGATCGCCGATTCGACCTACCTCCTCCTCCTCCTCCTCCTCCTCCTCCTCTCCCCCTCCCCTCCTCCACCTACCGTCCTCCTCCACCTCCTCCTTCATCCTCCTCCTCCTCCTCCTCCTCCTCCTCCTCCTCCTCATCTTCTCCTCCTCCTCCTCCTCTTCTCCTCTTCTCCTCTTCTCCTCCTCCTCCTCCTCCTCCACAATTACTCATTATGAAAATACTCTCCCTCTTCCCCTGATGGCGTCCGGGTGATGGCCGCGCACCCTCCGCGTACTGTTTTTTTGTACACAGGATTCCCGGGAAATCCCGGGAAACGACTCTCGCTGAGGCGCCGGCGTCATTTTCGGGCCGAACGCCCCCCGCGTATTCATTTTTTACACAGGATTCCCGGGAAACGGGTTTTCGCTTGCTTTTTTTTCACAATGATGCTCTCGCTGAGGCGCCGGCCTCAATTTCTGCTCCCGAATCGTTCGAATCGTCGCCTCCCAGCTGCGCGTGGGCCTCATTTTTTCGGATCGGTGTTTTGGCCTCCGTCGTTCAGGATGGCGGCCTCGCCGCGCCCCAGCTCGGCCTCTTCCCCGCGCGCCCATCCGCCCGCCAACCAACAGCGCCGCACACGCCACCACCCACCACCACGCCCACCACCACCACCACACACCCCCACCACCACCACCAGTCATCACAACCACCGACCGAGCACCAGCACACCACCAAGACACGAGCACCAGCCCCACCACCACCACCACCACCACCACCACCACCACCACCACCACCACCACCACCACCACCACCACCACGCACACACGCACGCACGCACGCACGTGCACCACCACCCACTACGCACGCGCGCGCGGAGCCACAGGTCCGCTACGACACGCGTCCGCGGATAGAGAAAATCAGCGCCATGGTAAGGGATGGGAGGGAGGGGTAGGACGTCAGATATGACGCGAGCGCACCTAACTTGTCCTCCTCCCCCACCCCCACCCCCGACCCAGCCTCCCCCTTCCCCCTCCCCCTCCTCCTCCTCCTCCACCTTCTCCTCCTCCTCCAGTCCAGGCCTCCCTTCTCCTCCTCCGCCCCACCTCCTCTACCTCCTTCCTCCTCCACCTCCTGCCCCTCCTCCTCCTCCTCCTCCTCCTCCTCCCTCCTCCTCCTCCTCCTCCTCCTCCTCCTCCTCCTCCTCCTCCTCCTCCTCCTCCTCCTCCTCCCCCTCCCCCTCCTCCTCCCCCTCCTCCTCCTCCTCCCCCTCCACAATTACTCAATATGAATACTACTCTCCCTCTTCCCCTGATGACGGCTTGAAAGTGTTAGCCCCCCCCCGCGTATTGTTTTTTGACACAACGGATTCCTTGGAGTTGGGTTTTCGCTTGCATTTGTTCCAAAATGCTGCTTTCGCTGAGGCGCCGGCCTCATTTTCGGGCCCCGCTCGTTCCGGATCGTGCTCCCGCTGCAGCGTTGGCCTCATTTCCGTGCTTCCGCTCGTTCCGAATCGTGCTCCCGCTGCAGCGCTGGCCTCATTTCCGCGCTTCCGCTCGTTGCGTGCTCCCGCTGCAGCGCTGGCGTCATTTTCCGTGCCATACCACGGCATGCAATGCAATGATAGGTTGATGCTACGCTTTGCGGTGCTCTTCTACGCCATGCCATGCCGTGCTCTTCAATGCATCGCGTACCCTTTCGGGATCATTGCCCTGCTCGACATCCGACTGTGCGAGTAGAGAGGGGATCTACGCCATGGTACGGGATGGGAGGGAGGGGTAGGAGGTCAGATATGACGCGAGCACACCTAGCTTGTCCTCCTCCCCCTCCCCCTCCTCCTCCTCCTCCTCCTCCTCCTCCTCCTCCTCCTCCTCTTCCCCCTCCTCCTCCTCCCCCTCCTCCTCCTCCTCTTCCCCCTCTCCACCCCTCCCCTACCCCCTCCTCCCTTATCCCCCTCCTCCTCCTCCTTCCTACTTCCACCTACCTCCTCATACCCTTCTCCTCCCCCTCCTCCGCCTCCGCCTCCTCCTCCTCCTTCTCCTCCCCTTCCTCCTCCCCCTCCTCCTCCTCCTCCTCCTCCTCCTCCTCCTCCCCCTCCTCTCCGTAGCCATTTTGGCTCAAGCTGTTTCTCCCCGCTTTCGTTCCACAGCCATTTTCGGGTGATGGCGGCGAGGCGGGCAGACGGCGTGGCTACGGGGGGCGGCCCCAGGGAGTGGCTGCCAAGTCAGCAGCGCCGAGAGGAGACCCTCGCCCTCGGCCCTGCTGCCGCCCGCCGCGCAGCGCGCCGCAGGAGGCAGGCGGCCTGCGAAGCTTTCCTGCGGACGCAGGCGATGGGCGGCGGCCCGGGCAGTTGGCAGGACAGGGAGCGGGCGGCCAGGCCCGCCCTTCGCCGAGCTGCCGCTGGGCTGGAGGTCTGTGGACGTGCTCGCCGTCGCCGCAATGCGGCGTGGCACGCAGCGGACCCGCCTCCACGGGGCTTCGCGGCGGCGTCGGACGACGAGATCACCGCCGCTGCGGCCGGGGCCCAGGCTGGGAGCTCGTGCCCGGCCGTTCCTGGAGGAGAAGGAGGCGCTGGCCGACTGGGAGGCGTTGGACGATGCGGCTGCTTCCTCGCCGTGCCAGCCCAGGGGGCCACTGCCTGGCGGTCGCGCCCTGGCCCCTGGCGTCTGGGAGTTGCCTCCAGCCGAGTCGGCAGTGGCGGCCCAGGCGTTTCGCGACGGCCTGGCTGCGGGGATGCACCTGGCGACAGTGCTTCCCGCCCCAAGCCCTTCGCATCCTGCTGCTCATGTTCATTCCGATGGTGCTGCTCGGCACGGGCTTCGTCCTGCTGTTCGAGGACGTGTTGGGTTTACGTCTCCTACGGGAAGTGACGTCCGCGCCGGCACCGCGACTGAGGACGGGTCCACGGCGGCTGGTGGCTTCTGCTGGTTTCCTGCCAAAGGGGCGCCCTCCCACGGCAGATGGCCCTGAGGGTGTGCAGGCTTCACGGTACGTCGACGCGTCCCACCTGCTGTCTCATGCAGTACCTTTTTCGAGACCCGACACCGAGCCCAAGGTGTCCGAGGAGGTGCCCGACGCGAAGCCCGACGTTCCGTCCGACGCGCTGATCGCCTCGTTGTCCGACGCTGAGCCCGACCACTCGCAGTCCGACGCCAAAGCCGCTTGGCCGTTCGACACCGCCGAGGCCGCGTCTGCGGGCGAGGATTTCTATGAGCAAGCGCGGGGCCTCCACGAACGTGATGATCAGCATCGTTCTGTTTTTGGCGGCGGCTTGGATGTGGATTCGGGCTGGATTGCTGGCAGAGTGCCAGCGCGATCAGCGCGATCGGAGGCCGCCGAGCCCCTGCAGATTCCCAGGGACATCATGGACAAGTTCGAGTCAGCGGTGGGCTCACTGGCTCCAGCTCCATCGATTTTTGGGACAGCAGGGAGTTCTTCGTCGGGAGTGGCCCCTCCGACGTCCACCGAGTGTCCACAGCAATAACTGTCGTCATCTCCATGCGTGCCGTGTGCAAGCCCAGCCTTGCCGCCGCTCGCCTTCCTGTCCCTCGGCTTCTACGTCCTGGCCTTCGGAGGTGTCGAGGAGATATGAGGAAGAAACTTTGTTGCTGGGAAGGTGCCTTGTTAAAAAATCCTCCCCCTCCTCTTCCTCCTCCTCCTCCTCCTCCGCCTCCTCCTCCTCCTCCTCCTGCCCCTCCACCACCTCCGCCCTCCTCCTACGCTCCCTCCTCCACCTCCTCCTGCTCCTCTCCACCTCCTCCCTCCTCCTAGCTCCTACCTCCTCCTCTCCTCCTCCTCCTCCTCCTTGATCCTCCTCCTACCCTCCCACCTCCTCCTCCGCCTCCGCCTACCTCCTCTCCTCCTCCTCCCTCCACCTCCTCTTCCTCTCTCCTCCTCCTCCTGCCTCCCCCCTCCACCCCCGTCCTCCTCCTCCTCCTTCCTACTCCCCTCCTCCTCTCCTCCTCCTCCTCCTCCTCCTCCTCCTCTCCTCCTCCTCCGCCTCCTCCCCTCCACTCCTCCGCCTCCTCCGCCTCACCCCTCCCCCCTCCTCCATCCTCCATCCTCCTCCTCCTCCTCCTCTCCGTCCTCCTCCTTCCACCACCTCCTCCTCCTCCTCCCCCCTCCTCTCCCTCCTCTGCCTCCTCTCCCCCTCCTCCTCCCTTCTCCTCCTCCTCCTCCTCCTCCTCCTCCTCCTCCTCCTCCTCCTCCTCCTCCTCCTCCTCCTCCTCTCGATTCTGGGCCCCCCTGCCTTCGCGCAGGGAGGAGGTGGGGGAGTTTCGGTTGACCTCCACGCCGGCTGCCGGCGGTGCGGCGGGTGGCCGACGAAGGGCCTCCGGGCGAGGCTATAGGCCAGCGGGGCCCTCGCCCGCGTGCCCTCCGCCGGAGCCAGGAGGCGGGCGACAGGAGGAGGCCTGGGGAGGAAGAAGGAGGAGGAGGAGGAGGAGGAGGAGGGGGAGGCGGAGGATGAGGGGATGGAGGAGGAGGAGATGAAGGTGAGGAGGAGGAGGAGGAGGAGGAGGAGGAGAGTAAGGAGGAGGACGAAGATGGAGGAGTGGAGGGGACACACAATTAATCCCCCTCACTCCTCCTCTTCCTCAACCCCTCCTCCCCCTCCTCCCCCTCCTCCTCCTCCTCCTCCTCCTCCTCCTCCTCCTCCTCCTCGAGCACAGGCCCCAGTGGGAAGCGTGCGATCTCTGCCTCACCGCATGGCAAAACACGCAGCTCACGCGGCGCCAAGAGCGCACCGCCTGCAGCGGCCTGGCCGACGAGGACCGACCCGTGTGCTCTGTCGGCTACATTCAAGCTGGACGCTCCGAGCGCTTCAACCAC